CGCAGCCGCAGCAGGGCAGCGCCGGGAGTGGGAGGCCGATGGAGCTCACAACGCCTCCCGCTCTGGCCGGTCGTTCCCGGATAACTGGGGAGCTCCAGCCGGTCTCACGAAGGGTTGGCTGACGCAGGAGGGAGCGCAGCAAGGTCTGAACACCCCCTGGGAAGCAGGCAGGATGCGGAGCGTTCCCTGGCTCCTGTTGCTTATCTCCCAGGCTCCTTTCCTCATGGGGGTGACCGTGCTTGTGCTGACGCAGCCCGAGCAGGGACAGCGCTTTCCTGGCCTGCAACCACTGATAGCGGCAGTGGGCTTCTGGCCGGCTTTGTGCCCGACTCCTCTTGACCTGTCCCGCGGGCAGCAAGTGTAGCAGGCTGCAAAGTGACTTCATTGTGATGGCTCTTCCTTCGTGCTTCTAAAGGAGCCTTCAGCCAGGGCTGCTGCCATCATGCTGTACTAGGGGAGCAGCAGCAGGAGCTGCTGCTGCTGCTGCGTGTGCTGGTGTTCTCCACTCAGCCCATTTGTGTGGGAAATCCCCCAGTGTACTCGTGGCGGGTAAAAAAAACCCCCACCTAGGTCTGCTGTGATTAGCAGTGTCTGCGCTGCAGCTGCTGGCTCTTTTCCTCCTGGAGGCAGCACCCGAGCTGTTCAGGAAGATGACCTGTTCCACTAACAGCCGTCCTTCTCCACTGAGGTCCGCGCTGTCTGCTCCCACCTTGGGCGCAAGAACCGTCCCTCTGCTGGAGCTGGGCTGTGCAACAGGAGGCTTCTGCGTTGCACTCTCAGCATACTGGCTTTACGCCGCTCTCCCTCCTGCAATCCCCACCTAACCCTCATCCCCAGTGCTGTTTTCTCCCAATAACACACACACCCACTGCTTGTTTAGATCAGAGTGTTATTTCTCTGTATGCCATCATTAAATGCTTGTCTGGACAGGACCCTTGTCAGTAGGGTGGGGGGAGCCGGGATCCCAAGGGATGGCTTTCTGGGAATGGTGGGGCTGTGGGATGCTGAGCATTTTGGGGGAGTAAAGCAGGGAGTGTTAGCAGCAAAGCCTGAAGAGTTAATTTCGGGAACCTACAATACCCCTTTTCTTCTCCCTTGGCTGCCAGGAGAACCTGAGGAGGGAGAGGAGGGGAAAACCATCTCTCCCCTCCCGCAGGGCAGCAGTCCAGGATGGGGTTTACTGAGCGCCAGCAGCTTTCCTTCCTCCGGGCTGGCAGGTCCGTACGGAGGAGGCTTGGAGCAGGGCAGAGCTGGCTGCTAGCTTCTTGCCTCCTGCTCTTTGGGACTGTCCTCCTGCAGGTCCTCCTCCTCCGACTGTACCACGGGGGTCTCGGCCCCCTCCTCGCTGGTGTCCAGGCTGTTCAGATCCGTGGAGACAGAGGACGTGGAGGAAATGCGTGACTTGCTCTCGGCTGTGTTGGGCACTTGCAGGGTGATTTCCTCTGGGCACTGGCTGGCATCTGCCCCTGGAGGAGAGAGCGGTAAGAGAAGGAAGAAAAAGGCTTCTGGAGGTTTCTTCCTCCCTGAGCTTCATGGATAGCCCCCCAGTGCTTATTCTTCAGCAGGCTGTGCTTCCCCAGCCTCTTC